AGCTTTGTCACAGAGTCGCTAGGTAAGCTTTCAAGGGTCAGTTAGTCTTTTTGAGGTTGTTATCTCATCTTGAATAATACTGACATGATGATACTAATCACACAGGAATCTATTGGAAAGGAGACTTCATGAAAAATAAACATTAACTAGAAGACCTACAGAATTGTTAAGTTTAAATGTGAACAACTATATATTTATAGCATAAGAGACTTTTATTTATTGTATGAGAGACTTTTTCTCACCCACAGTGTCAATCTAGGACACTATCTGTACACTCTAACTATACTTAGAAATAGTTAACTGAAGAGATGCAGAGAAATTACACTCACGGAAAGTTGAGTTATCTGATTACCCGGGAAAACAAGAATTGGATCAGCCATAATTACCCTAGAAATATTTTCTGCCAGGATTGGGAATTACTTCCTTCTTCTTTTTCTTCTTCTTCTTCTTTTTTTTTTATCACTATAAGAATAGTTCTTAGAAATAGAAATGATGCAACAGTCTTATGATTAATTAATGGAGAAAATGTGTATTTCAAAATGGGCCTCTATAACTGGTTTTGAACTTCATGCCATTTTGCGCTGGCTTAAAAAACAGTAGCAGGTGTGATACACTTTGTATAATGTTCCACCATAAACTGAACATGGTAGGAGGTATAATACCATCAGTTAAAGTGAAATGGTTGTATTGTAACCAGAGAAATTATTGAGCTTCTGTAAGGATTGGCCTGTTTTTATAAAATAAGTCAAGCAACAAAAGAGATTTTTCCACCTTGGAAAAAGGCCAAATGTATAAGTTATGTAAAACCGCTTAGCCCATTTGTACTCAATAGTCTTCAGGACTCTTAAAATTCCTTTTAAATGAAGGGCTCCAAGGCAGTATTTGGAATTTCAAGGTCCACACAGAAGCAGATCCGTGGAGTCGAGGACATGTTAAGAGAGAGAAGGGACTGAGGACTGTTCCCCTCGGTCTTTGCTGCCTCCTCATTTTTTGTAGGAGACTTTTGCAGGGTGAGCGGGGACCACATCAGCACAGGCTATGGAAAGGGGGAAGAGACCAAGATCCAGAGGGAACAGAGCCTGTGTTCAGAAGCTGGCCCATCTCCAGGAGACAACCAGGCAGGCCATTGTGCAGTGGTCGAAGGGCATGGCTAGCTGAGACTGGGCCAGGCTATTTGGATATATGAATGAGTCCTATCTGCCAATGGAACACAGTTCTGGAAAAAGTCCAGGTGATAATACTCAAAATCCGGCATGATTCCAGATGATCAGTTCAGTCACTGCAGGCCTCCAGCCAGAAGCTGAGAAGGGAGTAGGAAATCACATCCTACTTCGCAAGCTAAGGGGAGGAGAGCAAGAGTTTGGCAGAGCATCAGGACCTGAGTGGAGGTAGCTGGGGTCCAGGGCAGGAATCGAAACCCTGCAGAGAACTGAAGTGCTTAGCAGAGAAACTGAGGCCGACTGGAGTCCCAAGGCTTTAGCCAAAGTGGTAAGAGAACACTGAGTCTAAGAGTCTCCGGGAGGAACCCGATATGCAGGTCTCTAGGCAACCAAACCAGTTTCATCTATTAATAGGTCTAAGACTGATGACACGATCAGGACTGGCTCCGACTGGTTGGGAACGACTAAGAGCTTTTGGAACTTTAATGTGCATAAGAATTAGTTAATATGCAGATTCTGATTGGGTAGGTCTGAGCTGGAGCCAATATATTCTGAATTTCTAACAAGATCCTAAGCCATGCTGCTGATTTTCTAGAGCAGCTAAACCCAGAGAGTCCAAACTTGCCGTCATTCCCTTTCCCCAATCGCACTGCTCTCCATCCATTTCACCTGCCCAATCAATGTGTCCTTCCTCCCTGACCCTCCTCATCATCAGAGCTGACCACCTTCTCTCCTTTCCCCTTTCCTTGTCCTTTTCCTCTTCCTCTTCCTTTTCTTTTCCTCCCAACTCCTCTCCTACTGCATTTCTTCTGTCAAGACCACCAACAGAAAAAGAGCTTTTGTTCAGATAAAAAAGAGAAAAGATAGCAAAAGCCAAAACCATTTTCCTGATTGTTAGTACACAACTAAATGCTTCTACGTTTGATAGATACGCTTAGTCCAGATTAACACTTAGTCTTTTTCAGTTACTATCTTGTAAAGAATGTAAATAATATGTGACCTCTTACCTCACCTTCCTGATAGACCTCAAAAGTTAAACATCTGAGTGTTCACTTTGGTAGCACAGATATGAAAATTGGAACAATACAGAGAAGACTATCACAGCCCTTGCACACAAAGAGGATGCTCAAATTCCTGAAGCAGTCCTTATTTTTAAAAAGACATTAAAAAGACAAATTAATGGAGAAATAGAGTGTTTATGAAAGAGAGGAACCAATATAGTAAAATTTTGAATTTTACTCACATTAATCTATAAAAATAATGAAAATCCAATAAAAATCCCGACAAAGTTTTAGTGAAACCTAATTCTAAGATTTGAATAAAAAAGCGAATGGCCAAGAAAATTTTGGAGATAAAGAATAGAGTGTGGAAAAGAGAAAAAGAATAAAATGAGGAAAGGGAGTTTTCACTTCACAAGAGTGAAAGACTTAATACATACTCAGAGTTATTAAAATGGTGTAACACTAAATGGCTCTATTTAATGTGATCATGAGCAATTTTAATTTATTTGTGCTCTTTTGATTTTCTACACCAAATATGTACAAGTTTTGTGATTAAAAGTTCAGCTAAAGTCTACGGCCATGCTACCCTGAACAAGCCCAATCTCGTCTGATCTCGGAAGCTAAGCAGGGTCAGGCCTGGTTAGTACTTGAATGGGAGACCACCTAAAAAGACCAGGTGCTATTGGTGTAAAAAAATAAAAAATAAGGGATTGTAAGCTGACAAGGTCCTCGTACTTTGTGAGGTCAACCAAGGATTGCCTTGCCCAACCCCCCCCCCCAAAAAAAAAGTAAAGCTAAAAATAAATGCTTTAAAGAACTTTGTGAGGTCAACCAAGGATTGCCTTGCCCCCCCCCCGCAAAAAAAGTAAAGCTAAAAATAAATGCTTTAAAGAAGGAAATATCTACTAAAAGATTTTTAAAAAATCAGAATGGAGTCACATATTTATTTTAGGTTCCCATTTTCTGAAAGTATATCTGTCTATAGTATACATTGAATGTGTTTCCATTTCCTTCACTAAGGGGTCACTAATTCCTGCTTACACTAAAAGCTCATCATGTAATGTGGGGCTAGTTAATTAAACTCTTTCAGTTTTTCAGTCTGCAAAATGGTAATATAAATAGCTTCCCAGTTCACCTTGGAGGATTACTTGTTGGAATTATACAGGATAATATGTGAAACTGCTTAACAAAATATCAAACGCTATACAAATGCAAACTGCTATTACCACTGAGTAATTGAAACAAGAAGTTGTAGATTTTAGAATTTTGTACCATCTCGTGTTGGTGTGACTGGATTATTTGAGCTATTTGTGCTTAATAGGTGAAAGAGGTTTGGAAAGCAAAGTTTAAATCACAACCCATCTCGCCATGGTTCATCTCATTTCACAGCTGTTTTTCATTCATTCAATAACTATATTTATTGAGTGTCAATATGCACTAAGGCCTGTAGTTACGATGATAAAACAGACTGTGTCCTTGCATGCATGAAGCTTATGGATTAGCAGAGTGTTTGTAGACAAGAAAATAGGTCATATCAAAATAGGGTGACAGACACTGTGATGTGGTAAGTCCAGGAAGCCATGGAGTTCTTCTGGAGTCACCACCCAGGTTTAGATATCATAGAAGTTTTCTTAGACCATGCAATAGTTAAGGTGATGAAAGGGATGAAGGAGAACAAATGGAGGGTGCTTGGAGACAGGGAAAGGGGGAAGAGAAGTGTGTTCCAGACAGAGAGAGGAACACTTGTACTGCTCCAGGGGCAAGACAAAGCAATGGAACTACTCTGAGATTTAAAGGGGGAAAAAAAAGCACAAAAAACCCTAGATCATAATGTTGCCCAGACCAGGCTCAACATGAGCTCACCATGACTCATATTGCAATAGGTTTTAGGATGGTCCCCTCCCCCACATCAAGCTTTCTGACCACTCCCCAACAGGCTTTTCTCCTTCATTGCCTGGCCTTTCCTTTTGAAAAGATAGCACTCTAAAGAGGTGGAAAGAGGCTTTTCTCTTTTGAAGTAGCGGCATTATTAACAGAGAAGGAAAGTCTCCCATGAGCTATGGCAAAATCCTGCAGATTGGTTTATGAATCAATGTAGCTTAGGTTAAAGCAACCTAATTTCCCGAAAGCCACTCTATGGCTTTAGGCTTCCATAGGGGCCTAAAGCTTGTATGATATTTACTCATAGTTAAAATTAAGTGGAAATAGAAAAAAAAAAAAAAAAAAACCCAAGGAAGAATTTTTCTGGAAGATCGTATCATTAAAGAAAAAAAATTCAAAACTACAAAGCAATGTGGACAAAATATATATAATGCATTAAAGAAGATCTGGCAGTATATATATCAATGTGTTAAATTGATGACTATCTCTTAGTGATTGGGTTTCATGTGATTTTTTAATATCCTTTTTTTTGTGAAATACATTTGGGAAAGAGAATGATATATGAAAGTATAATTTAATACATTTTTATAAAGTGAACACTTACATGACCACTACTCAGGTCTAGAAATAGAATATGATCCAGAAGTCCTCCATTCCCTCTTTCCCAATCACAACCCACCCCTCCCCAAGAGGTCACCACTGCCATTTTAGGATACTCTTTTTTCTTTAATTTTATCACCTAAGTTTATATCTCTAGATACTATATCTTTTCCAGTTATTTCGAACTTTAAGTAAATGGGAGCATATAATATTATGCCTCTGGCTTCTATCTCTTAACATTAGGTTTCTTAATTTCATCCATGTTGCTGAGGATATTGTGGTTCATTCATTTTCAGTGCTGTATGGTATTCCAAGGCTGGATAGACTTTATTTACCCACCCTACTGTTGATGGACAGTTTGGCTTGTTTTCAGTTTGGGGCTATTATGAATAGAGTTGCTCTTCTTCTGATGCTCACATTCATATATTTCTATTGGATATATACCCAGTGGTAGAAGTCTGGGTCACCAGATCTGCATATCTTTAACTTTAATAGGTAATTAAAGTTAAGCAGCTACCCAAGAACAGCAGTAGCAGTGAAGACTCCTGTAGCAGCAAATGAGAGTTCCCACTGACCTATGCTAAAGTTTTATGTAAATTTTTTCTTCAGCTAATCTGAATTTTCTCTTTTTCTCTATAATAAATAGCTATTGGGTTAATTAGGCAAAATGCTACTCTAGTATTTCTTAAAATTGTCTTTCCCAATGGAAATATTATTTTTAAACTTTTAAAGTGAAGTAAATAATTCATATAGAAAAAGCACACAGATCACAGCTAGCTTAACGTATTGTCACCAAGTGAGCACACCTCTGTATCCACCATCCAGGTTAGGAAATAGAACATTCTAGCACCCTGGAAGCCATCTTCACGGCCCCTTCTAATCACAATCTTCTCCCTCCTCATCAAAGGTAAACTATTTTACTTGGTTCTTAGTTTTTGAACTTTATACAAATGGAACAATACAGTATATATTATTTTGTGTCTAGCCTCTTTTATTTTCCAACATTGTGAGATTCATCTGTGTTGTTATATGTAGCAATAATTCGTTCATTTTTCCTTTTCTTGCCACAAGGAAGAAATATTGACCTAAGAGAGCTGACCTGATTAACACTCTTCAACTCACAGAATGTATTGACCTATATCACACAGAGATTAGAACATTTTCCAACCATTTGTATTTTTATTGTTTCTACACAACTAATAAGCTTTTAGGTCAGAGAGGCTGTAGAGAGAGAGAGGACGACATCCCCAAGCCGTCCCTGATTTCTGTAATAATGGCTCCCCTTGGAACTATCTCTCAGTGGTAGTGGTTGTTTTCATTCCCTTCTTGTCCATCTAAAATGCTAAACAGTAGCACATTCCCAGGTTGCACACTTCTATATAAAACTGAGCTGTCACAGGATTTTACTAGAAAGTTGATTTATTTCCGAGGACCATGAGAGTCCAAGCATAAAACTGGCATCTGGCCTCCGAGAGAGCCGTTGACTTAGAGGCAGCGACAGCTTTAAAATTGCATTGGTACATATTGGAACAGGGTTCTTTTAGTATGAATCATAGCCTAAAAACTGTCCAGGGGAAAAAAAATCCTAAAACTCTTCTCCAAAAGGAAAGGTAAAATCAATAGCTTATATTTTTAACTCTTTCAAATAAGCAATGCTAAGCCTTTCTACACAAAACAATTGCTTACATCTAACTTTGGGGTTTTTTAAAGGACAAAGTGTCAACTGAGTTCGAATTCTTAGAACGGAATCTTAGTATCAATCGATTTTGTAAAGCAGCCAAACAGGCTCTCAGATGGTAACTCTCTGAGAGGCTGTGTGTAAATGTGTAGTAAACGTAATTTTTCTTCTTTTTTTTTTCCTTTAGGCCTTGAGATGTAATTATTAAAGCTTCAAATGTCCCTAGTGATATTAACTTGATAATCAAATTTGGATCACAGGAATGAAATAACGTAAAGTGTGCCTTCATTACTGCTCTCCTCAAAATAATTCACTTAAATAATTCTACCCTCCTCAACTACAGATCTGTAACTAGATCGTGGAGATAGCCAGTAAATTTAGCAAGAGTATTCAAAATGGTCAAATTGATTCTCAAAACAAAGAATGCCATGTTTAAACAAAACAAGTAAACAATTTTCTACCACAAAAGTAAAACAAAACATTGCTGAAATCATGTGCAAAAATGACAAATCAAAATGCTAAGTAAAATTGCAAAATGTAGGAGATCTTATCGCTAAACTAGCTATTGAAGAGCTTAACGATTAACTTTCTTTAAAAAATCTGGAAAAAATAACATTCTTTAAATAGCTGATTGAGAATAATTTTTATTATTGAACTATATATGTACCCATTAGAAAAACTGTCTACGAATGTACAAGTCATTTTGAACAAGAATACAGTTAGTCCTGTAGAAACTTAAAATATGCAAAATCAAGATTTAATCAAATAAATCAGTGCTGAAGTGTTTTTATATCTTTCCGTTTACTAAGAAGATGGAAATCTCCTTTCTTCCCATCCACTCCTCTCTCCAACTGAGGCTAGGGGAAAGTCTTAGACCAGGAAGGCATTGGGTGGGGAATTATTGTACAAAGCTCCCTGCTCTCTTCTGTCAATGCTTTTAAATCCCTATCTACCAATCTTCCCTGCTATTTTATGAAAAGAGAATCCCAGCTGT